TGCGGTATACCATCTTTTCCGCAAGTTTATTGTTTTTTGTTTGGTATTAGATTAATAGTTAAGATCCATTTTGTTACATCTGGTGATCCGTTTATTTGGCAATCGCCAATGGCAGTCAGCAGGGTTTAAGAACATCCGTTGTTCGAAATGCGTTTTGTTGAAATATACTTTTTCACCTTTTTGGTCTTTTGGAAAATGTTGTTTGTGCTGTATTTAGACCCCTCTACCAGGAAATTTGTTTTGCATGCACACGTATAAAAATTGCGGTTTTTATCCAACGCAATCATAGGTTTGAACGTTGTTTTCAATTTAAACTTTTATATATATATATATATATATATATATATATGTGAAAAAAAATAAGGCTGAATATTTATATTCAATATGAATATTCACATTTTGTCTATTACAACAACAAATTGTTCAAAAATGTTCTCCATAGTATCCTACCGGTTTCACTGTTTAACAGATCTTCAAGGATATGGTTGCTGGCGACGTCGTCAGGGGTAACGTCCATCAGCGACATTATTATTTAGCCCTGAACGTCATTTTCAGCCTTATTTTTTTCCCTATTTTATGCACAGCGTGGACAAAATTTAAAACTTTTTAATATATATATATATATATATATATATATAATACACGTCTAAACATCAGCCCAACAATGTTAGACCTGTAAATTTGCGAAAGCAATTTTTGTTCTTCCTTCGCCGGGATTCGAACTCATGCTACTGAGATATCGTGACACCAAATTGCCTGCACTGTATCCGACGCGCTAGACCACTCGACCACCTAGGCTTCACAATAATAAAGCTTTCGGTGGCCTGTTGTTACCTTTCCTTGTCAGTTTTAATCTAGCGTCGTAATACAGTACATGATATATAAGGCATGAAGATGGAATTGTTACAGATCAGCTGAAATATCTATTGTAAAGGATCCTACAAATTAATGCAAGATACAGTCACAGAAATAATGATATTAATAAGTACGTCTGAACCAGTGACAACTCTACAACAGATTTATCCATCGGATTACCAGTAGTGATGGTGATACATAGCTGTGTACATTCTGTATATACAACTCGTCTTAACATCAGCCCAACAATGTTAGACTTGTAAATTTGCTTTCGCAAATTTTTTGTTCTTCCCTCGCCGGGATTCAAACTCATGCTACTGAGATATCGTGACACCATATATATATATATGTTGGCGAGACAGAACAGCCATTCAACAAACGCATGAATGGTCATCGAAGTGACTACACCTGCAAGCCCGACCTCCCCGTAAATCGTCATTTGAGATCACCTGGACACGCCCAAGCTGATCTCAAAAACCTTACCATCACTATCATAGACCACAACGAGGGTTGGTCAAGGGCCGACAGACTTGCTCGGGAAAGTTTTTGGATAAGGAAGTTAAGGACAGTTTCCACAGAGAGCATTAATGATAAAACATAGAATGAGTCCCTACCATCACTTGTTTCCAGTAACTAAGGCTTCAGTACAGGACTCTTACAGTTTTTAAGGAATTTATTCCTCCTCCCAAACATCAATATTGAAAAAAATTACCGGCGTATTGATTCGTGATAATTTGTATAACGATCAAGATTACTATTACAGTGTGACACGCCACATGTCAAGATAAGAACCATTTGACATCTTACTGATGAAAGATATTAGTTAAATATTTAAAATTTGTTCATGATTTTATTTTTTGGTGATGTTGTACCCTTTTAGACTTGCTTATTATATATATATATAGATATACTGCTTTCAAAACTCATTAAAAATATACAGCTTCCGCCAACATTGTCTTAGATCGTTTCTAAGAAGGGTTTAATTAAATCGTAAAATTAAAATTAATTTCACTTCTGTATGAATTCTTCATGCATCACACGAATAGACCGTTTCACTAGTAGCACGATTTCAGTCTGAAACGGTCATTTTGGTCTGATCATATCTTAATCGACTGGATTTACCGCTAGAGAAAAACGTCAAGACTTTTGAGAACTTTAAGACGCCGTTCCGATCGATAGTCTCATTAGGTAAATCAGTCCGTTAAGGCATGTTAAGATAAACAAGACTGAATCTTCTAGCAAGCTGTTAAGATCCGTTACGACGGTGTCAGACCAAAACAGACAAAATCTCAAAATTAACGTTCAAAATTGTCAGACCATGTTTAGATCCGTTCAGTATGCCGGTATGATACTACGAGTTACGCCCCTTCTGCTTGATAATGCATTTTAGATTAATATATAGATTTATTAGAATTTAAAGTATATCTCTCGAATAAATAAAAAGTAATTAAAGATTAAATCCTCTGTTGATTCTTTATTTCTGTTGTTGTTTTGTTGAGGAACTAATAAATTATTCGTCTATATATTTTGCTTATTTTTTAATAATTGTTAGTTTATTTATTTATATACTTATTAAATGCAAGGACGTATATTAATTGTATACTTACAAAAATGTTTGCCATACATTTAACCTAAAAATGTTGTGAACCCTGTGTGAAAATGTTTTTCGTATTTGAAAATTGGTAACGGAAAATCTTAAACGTAACCTAAAAAAATAAGATGTGGTATAATTGCCAATGATACAATCCACAGAAATGAAGCGGAGGCAAATTAACACATGCGTATTTTTGTTTTATGTCAGTTGGTTTTATTCGTTTTCTGTTGATATGTCCTAGTTTACTATTACCGTTGGAGCTGTTTTTTTTTTTATTTTCGTGCGAGTTACTCTATTAAACTTGGAAAAGCTTTTATTACCATAGCTTTGTACTGTACAATATAATTTTATATTATTAAACAATAATTTATTTTATATAGTGGTGCGTCTAAACACCACCAAGGTCGCCATAGTACATGAAGCCGATCATGATACTGCATTCAGTCTGTGTCGAGACAGTGTTAAACTATAAATAAAGTACCACCGTATAAAGATTTTCATTCAAACAATGTATCCTTATATTTATTTTCTAACCCATATATTATATATATATATATAGTACTTAGTGTATGGCGTAAATTTAAAATTTTCCGTTTTAGTTAAAATGATTGAGTTCAATGGCACGGGCTAGTAATCAACCGGGTCAACAGGTAACAAAATCAATGATCCATAACGTAAGAAAGTCTATTTTACAATTACACTCATGATTCTTAATAAAAATGTGCCGTAGGGCTAAAAGTTAATAAAGAATTAATGAATTTATGTATACGTATTAGTATTTAAGTGGTTGATGTTTGACCGTCAGTTTTAATATATACTATGTTTTATATTCAATAAAATAATGAATCTGAATCTATTATAGCTTAGTATGTGTAGTTTAAGGTTCTTACAATATTATATATTTCTAAACACTATACCAAAAGATAATGCAAAATATTTGAGCGCTGCATGGCAAACCATTAAAAAAACATGTACAGTTCGGAAGTTTGTTTAGTATTCAAAAGAAACTTTTCGCTTCTCTACTTATATAGTTTAGAGTGTATTCCTTTAAATTGCGTCAGTTATATAAAGTGGTGTGTATTTGTATTCTATTTATTTGGCAAAATTGTATCACTATACATACATTTTGTATTTCACAACTATATATACTATAAGTTGTGAATTGTGATTGATTGTTGGTTGCTTAAAGTCCAGTGGCAAATATTTCATGCATGTTCAGGACGAACTGTGGGTTTATGACATGGAACCCACCAGTGTAGGTTTCATGTGGTATAATATTTAAAAGTAACTTAAATTTAATTAACATGAATTTTGAATAAATCGAAACATAACGGGAGCTAGCTATATATAGACGCATGGATCGCCCGGACCTATCAGTTCTTTTCTCTGTTTTGTCTAAAAAAAATTAATGTTTTTTTTTTATATTTCGATTTATTTTGTACTTTTATATGATTTACGATAACTGTGGTTTATACGTGCTGCCAGACGAAAGATCTCTTTGTGTCCTCTAGATGTCTATTTTTTTTGTGGATTGATTGCTTTGTCATTGACGTTTAACACAAAACTTTTATCAATTAAGTGTGATCTATGTAGAAATTCAAACGTACTTAAGAATGAAGGATAAAAATTCATGCTTTAAATAAAAATGGTCATTAAATAGCCACACAATTAAAAGAATAAGAAAAATGTAAGTGTTGGAATAACATATACAATATATATGTGCATTGTCGGAAAATATAACTTTTATTTTACGCACTTTGGTAACTGGAAAAAAAGAGAGGCGTACCAATCTTTTCTCCTTTTGTGTAGCGAATACAAATGAACTGATCCTAGTTATTTCGTATAGCATTTCTTTTAAATGATAAAATCGCGCGTGCTCTATCTCAAAAAAGATGCTCACAGTGCAGTGTACTACTTTTGAGACAAATTATATCAAATTATCAAAATATCAATCTCTAACTTAATATGTAAACATAATACATGTAACAGCACCCCTTCTAGTCCTTAGTGGCATAGTATACGTCCTTAGTGCATTAAGGACTCCTTAGCAGTGTTTAGACGTACCGAAATTATAGAGCAGTCTAACAGCTCTAACTCAAAATGTGAACCATTCTATGTTGCGGGTTGGGGTCTACAATTTAGTTTGAAAGCATCAATCATACAAGTGTTTTATCCTTTTAATTTGGACTAAATCACTACTTTACCTTAAATTTCACACACACACACATTTGTCACACACATCTTGTTTATCTTGACATGCCTTAACGGACTGATTTACCTGATCAGACTATCGATCGGAACGGCGTCTTAAAGTTCTTAAAAGTCTTGACGTTTTTCTCTAGCGGTAAATCCAGTCGATTAAGATATGATCAGACCAAAATGACCGTTTCAGACTGAAATCGTGCTACTAGTGTTTCATCCTTAATGTTGGTTTGAATACAAGTGAATTAACAAATCATTTCAAGGGATTAAGCGTATTGAAATTCAAATGATCTGCGATAAAAATAGATTCTAAATAATTCAATAGCAAGATTGCAATACATTTACAAACCTAAGCTTAAGTGGTGCATTGGATGGCGATGCTGTGCTCGATTTGGAGATTGATGTTCAGAGTACTTAATTGTTGCTGTTGATGGACTTTCTTCATGAATGGTAGTTCCCATCTGACCATGATTTAGCGTCGTATCTTCTTTATTCAATGTAATTACTTTTGTTACATTTTGATATTGTTCTTCCGATAATGTTGTAAATTCAGATGACTTTTGTTTCTCTACAGTGCGTTCTGTAGAAGTCCGAACAGAAGTGAAATTTGATTTTAGAAAATTCTTTATTGTAGTCATCATATCTGTCTGATTCACTCTAAAATGTTCGTTAGACCGATTATTTCGTGTATCTGTTCCTGGAGGAACTGTATAATTCAATTGATTATTTCTCCTCGTCTGGATTGTCGTTTCGGTTCTTGATTCAGAATCAGATAATGACAATGATGCCATAATGTGTACTGGGGTTTCTGTATTTGTTCTTCCTAAATCATTAGTTGATTTATTCTTATAATTAAACATATCAAATTTGTCTAAATCATTCAATGGTTCTTTCACGTAATCTCTATTTCTTTCTGTGTCTGAGTCATCTGCTTTGAATATATTCTCTGTTGTTTTCGAGGCGTAAAAAATTTTTCCATTTGACACATTGCGATCAGATACAGTAGACAAATTTCCTACTTGTGACAATACTCCTCGTTCAGATCTATTTGTATCTGTAATATTTAACAGCTGATACAAGTAAACGTCCGTGTCGTTCAATAACGAAACACTAGACACGAAAATAGACAGACATATGAACAAGCTAACATTTATCATTCTTGACATGATATTTTTCACTTCCATGTCAGGTCCATTACTGTAAAAAAATAAAAACAAACTCAGTAAGTAAAACGTAGATTTCTAAAACAAAATAAAGTATAAAATACACGTTCAAAAATAAGAAACAAAACATTGTATGCATTATGAAAAGGTTGGAATAAATTCATCATAATTGATATAAATTCAAACTGCCACCAATAAATGATCATTTGTTTTTAGATTATCTTGATAGGCATCGCTTTCAGATTTAAAAAGTATGATATTAAATAATCACGTACATGTTCGTGGCTATAATCACTTGCATGCCGCTTTCTTTGAAAATAAGTTATTCATTTTATGTGAGAATTATAAGACAGCACTCGTCCAAAATCGGGATTGGAACTGACGTCTCAAAACACTTTGCAGTCCAAATCAATAAGGAAGTTGAAGAGCACTGAAACAAACATTTATTAAAAGTGCCAAATATCAGGCCTAATATAAAATTACAATATTCGTACATTGTATGAAATATAAACATTATTTTTACAAAGTAAGCTAACCAGAAGAAACTTGAGATTTCGCCAAGCTCTATTCCTGTTTCTAGTATAATCAAAGTTTCTATTTACCGATAATGTAAGTCCTAGTTTTTATCTTTTTATAGAATGGCACTGAAATGTTCAGTAAAAAGTAAAATAACAAAAATATCGAACTCCAAGGAAAATTCAAAACGGAAAATCCTTATCAAATGGAAAATTCAAAAGCTCAAACACATAAAAAGAATGGAAAACAACTGACATATTCCTGACTTGTTATAGGCATTTCTTTGTGTAGACAATGGCGGATTAAATCTGGTTTGAAAGCTAGCTAAACCTCTCAATAATTGAATTCTTCTATGTTTTCAAGAAATCTGCTTAGACGAGTACAAAAAGAGGGAAGGCCAAATTCCTCTGAAATAAGTTTACTGACGTGTGTCGCTAGTTGAGCAGGAATTGCATACCCTTTCAGAGGACATCGATGGGGTTCGTGTTGCTCAGTCTTTAGTTGTCTATGTTGTGTGTTTTGGATTTGTTGTCGTTTCGTCGTCGTTTATCTTTTATCTTCTCTTCGACTTATGAGTTTTGAGTGTCACATTGGTACGTTCCGCCTCTATTTTACTCACACGGTCGAAATCCGTAAGTATATATGTATATAAGTATATAAAACATACTGGATTTTGAATATTAAAGAGTCTTGAAAATATGCAAAATTTTACATGAATAGATTTTATTTTAAAAAAGACACAATAAACCTTTACCTTCAATTTAATTTTCATTTATATGTCCCTCTTATTCATTTTTGCGATAATTACTAAAAATTTGCCAATCTACCAAAATCAGTTTTTTGCTCTTTGAAAGCATTACTTATATATAATTCGGTTACATGCTAAAAAAATACGCAATACTGTTGTTGAAATATTCAGACATGAAGTTATCGTACCGTGGATATGAGTAAAGAATTGAGGACTAATATGAAATTGACTTGGTAATTTTTTTTAATTAATGTTCAAGGCGTTCACTTTTTTTAACTTATGAGTTTGAATATATCTTTTTGGTATCTTCTGCCTCTCTTTTAGGTTAAAAATACCAACAGTATACATAGGTGATTAAAAATCATCACTAAATTGAAAGCAAAACATAAAGTTTTTGGTCGAGCTTTTAAGCTTCAATATCCCCAACCATACGGCTCATTGAAGTCAATTTGGTCCTACCCACTAAACTACCATATGGGAACAGTTATTTAAAATTGCCGTTCGTTCAATATCAAGTACGGTCATTTGTATACCTTTATGTGTTTAGTAAAATATATTATTTCAAGATCAATTATAAACAGTACTAGAAATATATTGATATAATAAATTGTAAGGGTTACGACACCACTACAACGGCTGTCCATTTAGCTGAGCGGGATCGTAGCTACGTCCGGTAGGAATGTGGATGTAAAAGAACTCTTTTAATGGGTCCAAAGCTGGCAAGGCAAAATTTCTGCTCCTGTCTATCAATATCAAAATAAGAAGATGTGGGAAGATTGCCGTTAAGACAACTCTCCAGCAGAGACTAATTGACATAGAAGTTAACAACGGTAATAAATATGAATAAATAGAACAATAACATAATGGAATATGTAGACAGCTCTCGCACAAGCAAAAAAACCCTAACTGTAAAATATAAAGGCATACACCACAGGCACTGGAACATATTCTAATGCATCAACACAGCACGAGCAACAAACCCTGCAGTAAATATAGAAATAAACAGATGTGGGATGATTGACAATGTGACAACTCACCACCAGAGACCAAATGACATAGAAGTTAATAACAGTAATAAATATAAAGAAATTCCTCATTTTCCCGTGTTAGTTCATATTTCACAGCGTACATCTACTTTGCATAGCCTACGTGTTTGGTTTATTAAAAAAAATATCTCGTCCTGAGTATGCCACACGACTTTAAGCAAACAATAATCAGTCAATCAAAAAATATCTTAAAGTATGAATCTATTTGTAAAAAATTGATATTAAGGTAGATGGGGTGTTTAAATTATAATCCATAGAATTTTTTAATAATTTGCCAAAATGTAGTTTATATCATGCTTTTTAAAAAAAATAATAAAATGAATGGGCCACGGGCCTTATTTTCACGCTACAGGTTGTGCAAAATTGACAGATTTTGTATAGATTATGCATGGAAAACCCAATTTTCTGCCATAAAATGAAAACTACACCATAGAATTTTGAGATAAAATATGAGAAGATAGCTCTAATAGTATGCTTTCAGATAAGAAAAAGAAAAATGGGGTCACCGGACCCGTTTTCTTGCTACATAATAAAATAGGTAAATTCCTAACCAATTCTATTGTAAAAGTAACTTTATGTGCATTATCTGCCCTTACATTTGAGTTGCCTCCCCTTATGTGGCAAAGTTGGAAAATATTGAATCAAACAAAAGTATTCTGTTTTTTTTTGTAAAATACAACCATAAATATGATAAAATATGTCATTTTCTATATTGAAATGAAAATTCTTACACATGAATTACCTACTACTCTCAAAATTTGCAAATTTTATTATAGATCTAGACCGATTGGTTTCTGGTATTTCAAAATCCAAGATGGAGGAAGACACTCTATCTACCTTAAGAAGTATTTCACACCCAGTTTTTATGGATATATTTCTTATCAAAGAAATAAGTATAAAATCCTATCAGTTGGGCTCATTGTTAATTTTCTTTCGTCCTGAATGAAGTATGTGCCACACGACTTTAAGCAAACAACAATCAATCAATCAATCAATCAATCAATCAAAAACAAAGATATAGGGATTAAATCTATATAAAGATGATACTATTTGTATTTCACACCAAATGTTTTGGATATATCTCTTATTATGGAAATAAGCATAAAATTGTCTGTAAAATATTTCTGTTTGGCTGTTTCGGCGTTTTTCAAGACGTTACTCTATGAAGTATATTCGAAATTAAATCGGTCGATATAAGACAGAAATGGGACAAGTATTCAATACAGGTAGATTTTGGACTTTGATATAGAGTTTAAGTAATTGTGAGTATTCTTTGGTACTGTCCAAAACAAAAGACCTTACATTAGCATTTGCTCCTTTCCGCCAAATACATAATATTGAAGAGTAAATTCAAAGTCTGAGATCAGATTGGCTTAGAAAATAGTATTTCCGTGAATGGTGACATGTCTTTTGGGGGATGACCAACTTGTGAGCCAGGAGTTTAATGTCCAAAAGAACTACTTTGTCTTTTACACAGCTTCATATCTTATCGGCATGTCATCATCCTGATTATCTATAATTTATTTGCCGATGAATGTAATATAGCGGTTAATAAAAAATATATATACACTAATCACACCAATGTAGATGAGGGGGATATTGGATACCAAAAACTTGTGCATGTCAACACATGTTTATGTGCCTGTCTGAATTTAGATAAATTGACATTCTTCGTCATTTGTAAAATCTTAACTGGTTTTTTTTCTTCTTAAAGAAATTGGTGTTGGCGTTAGATTTGTGTTAGTTCTTTTTTAATATATTGTTAATTTGTCCAGGCTCTGGGTGATTGAAATCTCACTATATATTATAAATGGACTTTGCTTACAACAGTAAGTAGAACTATTTTTATATATGATATTATTGTGGGATTAATTTGTATGTTTGTTTGGAATTGTTTTTGTCAGTTGTGAGATATATGTTTATATAGTTTGGGCTGCTTGATCCCAATTATTGTCACGTTAACCAATCATGTCTGTTTGGGTTGCTTATCCAGTTTTGTCAATATAACGGAACTATAAACAACTGTCATACAAGTGGGGGTTTAGCTAGCTATAAAACCAGATTCAACCCACCCTTTTCTTCGGAAAATGTCTGTACCAAGTTAGGAGTATGACAGTTTTCTATTTGTTCCTTTTGTTGATATAGTCGAGCGTTTGATTTTGTCAGGTTTTATGAACTTCCCCTTTTTTGAATTTACCTTGGAGCTCGGTATTTTCGTTGATACTTTTATACTTTTATAAATGATGTTCCAAAGGAAATGAGTATTGCCCAATAAGAACTGGTCATAGTAAGACTTAATTTAGACAATAGCTTATGTTTCAATGAAATAAAATATATTCGATATCTTTTTGTAACCAGTTGGTCTCCTCTTCTAACCTACGTGTTGCTTTATTCGTATAATATGTGTTCGTAACGGGGTTTTCCCCCCAAGAAAAATGAAAAATGAAAAGAATTTTTCATTATCCATTAACTTCACGTTTCGCTATATAGACAATATCTTTTCACTAAATAATTCATTATTTTGTGACTATGTTGATTGAATCTATCCCATTTTACATGACAAAATGGATACCAAAGAAACATTTAAGTCTGATTCATCTTTAAACACTTTTCGTCAATGTACAGAAACTGACAACGAGGGTCGGTTGAGAACTAATCTTTACGACACGAAGGACAATTTAAATTTTCCAAATTATGTTTTCATTTCTATATTACAACATTACA